TTTAGTTAATTGTCTGCTTAACCCCGCCCCTGAGGAGTGACTGTCATGGCAGGCCTATCAAGCTACATTCGGCTCTAATAGGTAAAGAGTGTATTATATGTCTCTTGTACTGGCTGTGCTAATTTTGTCTGGCACCTGTACTCCTCTCTATTCAATTCTGACTGATTCTCCCCCGTTTGGGAGAGGCCCAAATGTAAATACAATCTTGGATGTTGACATGAATTTGCTGACACAAGTTTGTGTCCATCCTGGCTGTTTGCTGAGAGGGAACTTCCTGTCTTCGTTCCTGCTTTTCCTGCCAAGACAACTGTTATCACTCTGGGGAGAGATGGGTACTTTCCCCAAAGAATATGCATAAGCAAGCTTGTTGTATTAAGAAACAAAATATACTGACACAAATGCAAAATGTACTTTGTTCACAAATGTTGTTACTGTTGTTAGTTATGTCCAGAAAAATACATCATTTTCAAACATTCTTGTGTCCAAATTGACTAAATGTTTAGTTCTTTTTTTTGCATGTCGGTTTTGTGCAGTGTGTGAGTCTCCACCATGATATTTTCAGTGTACACACTTCCGCTCTGCTCCCTAGCAGTTTGGCCAAGCAATTTGCCTGTTCAGCACAATGCATTGTGGGATCCCACTGCTTAATCCTAGGGTTAAAATTGAGCATACGTTCCCTGCAGCCATAACAAGTGCTCTGTCGTCACAGAGGAGCGGTGACACATCCCAATTACCCCTCTCTCTCTAAACCTGGCCAATCACTCCCAGAACCCACCTTGTTAAAAGAAGATGGGAGGGTGATGGTGGAAAATAACCTTGTGTGAGTGTGTGTGCGCGCTTGTGTGTGTGTGTGTGTGTGTGTGTGTGCTTGTGTGTGTGTGCACGTGTGTGTGTGTGTGTGCATGTGTGTGTGTGCACGTGTGTGTGTGTGGTCATATGCTGACAGGAGATGTGCAAAATCACATGCAAAGAAGAGCTCTAGCCAGCAGATCACATGCACATATCCTCAGCGTCACAGAGACAGAGCAGCCCTGCAGTGGATGATTTAAGAGCTGGCTGGAGAAATCAATATTTTAGCAGATATGAAATCCAGAGACGCCGTCCAAGGTGTGTTTAAAATTATGTGAATCTGGGCTGTAGAATAAGCGCAATATAAATCATTAGCTGCTCGCACGATTGCACCGTGGCTTACTGCTCTGTATTAAATTGTGTGTGTGTGTGAGGAGAGGGAAAGCAAGATTTTAGATGTTTATATTGAACTTTTTAGCAACAAAATTAAGAAGAGTAGTTTTTGACTTCAGCTAAATTAGCAATCAGGAGTTATGTGCACAATATGTGTAAATTACAAATTTTCAGTGTTTCCCCTTCAAGTAACATCAAGTAATCCTACATCCACTACTACTGCCACTACTACTACTATTTTCAGCTTTTATGACATAAAAAACAGAAGCTATTTTGATCCAAACCAGTATATTCTTAAAGCTCCAGAAAAGCAGGTTTCATATCTGAGGTATATATATACGTATATATATATATATATATCCATGAATATCAAGTCAGCAACAATCATTGTCCATTTGTCCACTCAGGACAGTGCAACAAGGGCTAAACACAACACTTACTCACTGATTATCACCTTATGAAAATATAATGTATTAGCAGCATATGCTATTTTACACATCCAGCAGACAGAGAGCAACATTAGCATTCATTTTAAGTAGTTTTTCTGGCCACACCATGAATGCAATAGTACAATATTCATTCTCCTTTTAGCTCTGTTTTTGCCTCTACCATCTCCTGAGGCAAACATCTGGCTCTTTAATTCCTAAATGTTTGTTAGCTAGTTGTTAACTTTCTCTATGCGCAGTTTGATGCTGCCAAAACAACATGTTAAAAGGAGTCAATGCTTTAAAAATCTGAAACTGCAGTCAGATGATCTGTGGGTTTGTAACTATGAGCGACCCTTCTCACATTACTTAGAGTCAACTGGTCCATTGTTGATATAGAAATATTAATTAGTGCAGCTTCAAAGTTTGAAAAAAGGTATTATTTATTAAGGCTTCAAAACCCCTGATGTCTGTAAGTCTGTGAGTCGGTCGTTGGTGTTGTTTGATTAGATTTAATTGACATTGGGTTGACAATGTGAGAAACAACCACACAACTGTCATCATATTTTGACTGAAAAAAACATCCAAATACTGATTGGAGCACAGCAGTATGTGACATCATCTATTTCCAACTGAGCCACTTTAAACCTGTGAGATTAGCGTAGACAAAACACCACAGACAGAAATCTGCCATGTGGAATAAAAACATCTGTTCTAACTCCGGTGGAAAATATTGTGTTCATGACCCCATCACCCACGGTGAGAGGCTGATTTAGAAAATATATCTTAGGGCTTTTAAACTAAGGGCGTTTTTAATTGTTTGAAATAATCTAGACATGAAAGTGGGGTTTCACTTTCCTTTAACCAGACAAAACATTTCTGGTGTACTGCACTACCTGTACTGTCCTGTTCTATTACTGTGTTTCTAACAGTGACTGGTACACCTTAGTATGGTGAAGTCATCCTGAACAAACATAGTAGAAGTTATAAGCTGGGTTGATCAGCAGATTTGATCCCATGTCTGAAATGTCTGAAAGGTAGTGGGTAACACAGGCCCAATATAACACTGGACAGTACTGTATGTACTGTGGTGTACGTGTGTTTTAGTGTTGTTACGCTCCTGTTGACCTGACATTTTGTCATCCTCATTTACAAGGTTAACGTTTTGTGTAGAATTTAAGCAAGTTACAGGTGACAGGATATTTAAATTTTTCATCTATGTTTTTTAATGTTTTTATTGCAATCAGATAATGCATAAGTTATTTGTAAACTAAAACTAAACTTTTTGAAGAATGTCCTTACTTTGTTTAAGCAACATTTGTTGTCCCTTAGCTATGCTACAGTGTGTGCCACATGTTTTTGTCATTAGTGTATGTCTTGTTTGTGCTCTCTACCATGTGATCATTGTGTTGAGTAATAAATTAATTAAATAAATGAAATGAAATAAAAAGTAAAATTAGAAAAAGTAGAGTACTGACGACTTAGGTAGTAGGGATTAGGAAATACAGACCTGGCAATCTGTATGCATTTTGACATCAAATAGTTGAGTTAAATTGTGCACATGCAGTACTCAAATCCAACAGCAGGTGGCATGGTCTAGTCTGCTGAGCAAGAGAAGAAGAAGAGTTCGACCAATCACAGCGCTGGGTTGAGTTCCTCAAATGTCAAGCGGGAAAAATGTATTAAAGTCAATCATTTCAACACAGTTTTAAAGCTCTTAACTCCGTCTGGCTGTTCCCTCAGGTGAGGCGGTGCTTTAATTCTCCTGTAAAGGTAAACAGGCTGCGGTTGTTAACGCAGACGTGCCAGACCTGTCAAAATATTCAACGTTGATAACGTTAGCCTAGCGTTACGTAATTTGCAAACGAGCTAGCTACCAAGCATTTAAATGGGCAAAGTAAGGTTAAGTTTGTCCATGTGTCGCTGGTCGTTAAACGTGACTTTTTCTTGTACTGTGCCACAGAAATATAATGTATAATATATTGTAACGCAGAAAGTTAACAGGAAGTGTATGTGTATGTCACAACAGAAGTTTCTGTACCTGAAAATTAAAACATGTTACAATAAACAAAATAAGTAAAAAAAAAAAAAAAATTAAATAATTGAATGAAATTCACTTATTTTTGTCAGTTTATATAAGCACACATATCAGTTAATCAAAAATGAATTATGAAATCAATGGTTTTAAGCAGGTGACTTTTACTTTATATTATGATATAGCCCTCTGCATTGTAAGTGATATTTTAGTAAAACATGGTCAAAAGGTTCCAAAGCTTGAGGTGAATATTTGTAAAAATGCTCCCAGTAAGTCAAACACCAGGGCTTCAGCCTCCTCTAAACTGATGTCACTTTGTTCACAAATGGCCACAAACAACTGACTATTAAATATGTTGTTTCATTAGAGTTCTTCTCAAGAATATATGATTGTATGTTTTCTTCATTGCTGATTCATATGTTGAATAACTTCATGATATGTTGGCAGGTAGGGAAATGACTGTGTGCAAAGCAAAGTGGTGTGGAAGCATGTCAACTAAGCTTTACACTATTATGGTGCTGAAAATATTTTCCCAAGGTTGTGACGTCTGTGAATAAATACTATCAACAGAAAGACCTCACAAGCATAGTAATATAGGTTTAGGTGTGTTTGTGTTTATGTGACTGTATTCTTGTCTGTGCTTTCACTCTGTTGTGCTAAGGTTTGAGGGAAAGCTCAGGGCCCAATGTGCAGAATAATATGACAAGATTTTGTGAGTGTGTGTTTGTGCCTACCAGTAATACACTCTGCGGGACGTCCTGTCCAGCCACCACTTTTCTCTCCTTGCCAGAGAAATGCATGACTTGAAGAACATATAATTCCTCATTTCGCTGTTCAGTTCAGACATAATTCATCCGAAAAAAAAAAAAGAAACGTAGTGAAGACACTGAAATAATCAGATGAAGGCGCTGCATTGCCTCTGAATATTAATTAATCACTTAAAGATCCCTGCGGTGCCTTTCATTGATTTGTTTGCTGTTGTAATGTGAGCAATGAATGACTGAATTGTGCTGAGCTGGCATTTCTTTAAGCTTTTCTATTAGGCTGATGTTTTGACATGGAGGAGTGGAGGATGGGGGAGTGGTGGCTTGGATCATTACCTATCTTAACCACAAACGCCATAAACAAGACAGAAACGTGGCCAGGATGAGTAATTTACAGCCGCAATCTCATCAGAGATAAATCCTTATCTCTTGCAAACATATTGACAGTCAGAGGATAAACAATTTATCAGCCATTTGAATAAGTAATTTCCTGCAGCTTTATTTTTGTGATATTTACAAATGTACCTCCCTTCACTCATTCTGTATGCTCACCTCGTCTTCTCTCTCTCTCTCATATCTTTTGCTCCTGAACAGAAACCTGAGTAACAACAAGATCTCCTTGCTGAGGAATGGCTCCTTCTATGGCTTGGCTGCCCTGGAAAAACTGTGAGTACTTAAATCAAGCTCTCTTAACTGTTTTGTCCTCCCCAGAGTCTTAATAGCTGTCATCACAGGAGTGGTATTGCTTTATAGCGGGGGGGAAAGGCACTGGGGGACATAATGGGAATTAGGAGATCCTTGTCGGGGTTTACCCTGCAGGAGTCTTGCCAGTGGTTTTCACCTTTCAGCCCTCACGCTTAACCTCAATTGCCACAGTAAATGTCTTAAAAGGGATAATATATGGCATCATATAAAGGCCTAATGCAGAGCAAGATCAGGGAGTCGAGTCCATGTTGATGATTCTCACAATATATGCAATGTCCCAGAGGGCTGCTATGCATGCAGCTTGATGATGAGCTCTATGATGGCCTCCCCCGCTCTTCCAGCCTGCCCCTTCGAGTCAACTATTGATTGCGCACAGCCCAGTGATCACTGGTTTTCTACCTGATGGTGACACTGACATTGGCTGATGATGAGGAAATCAGAGAGGGGCTGAAATCACATGAGGAGGATGGCTGGATAACTCTCCCTTTCAGTCAATCATCCTCAGATGTATGCGCGCGCTCTCTCGCTCACACATGAAGGCACACATATTAATCACACACACACACACACACACACACACGCAAGCTACATCAGTGACTGCTTTGAATATTATCGCAGTCAGTTTGGCCCCTGTCTCCCTGACTGCTTGACAGTTAAATTAAGATTGGAATAATGTCAGTGGAATAATTCTGCCCCCTCCTCATCTCCTTTTTGGGTGGCTGTGTCGCCGGTCGACTTGCAGGATGATGTCACCTGTCTCCCCGGGCCTTATTAGTGCCATTAAACCTTTCTACCCTCATCCCTCCAGCTCCACCAGAGTGATGGAGAGATGATTGCGAGACTTTTAAGGACACTCAGCCAGGGGTTCATTACGGCTGACCTCTTGGAGCAGCAGTTTGCGTGCCCTATCCCTTCCCTTCACCTCACGCTCTGGGTACAGCCCGTCCATTCGTCCTGCCACATGTAGCATTTGGCAGAGATATGTCTGTCGCTAGCAGTTGACGCCAAGCCAGGTAGCCTAGTGAGTTGAAAGTGGCGGCCAGCTGTTCTCTCGTCTGGCCCGGCCGACTGACTGCCTGGCTGCACGGCTGGCTGACTGACTGGATCTGTGGGTTGTGGTGGAGTGGCAGCTGATTGACAAGCCTAATAACGCATGTGTATGTGTTTGCACCACTCCTGCTGCAGCTGTGGACTCAATGTACCTCAACAAACAGACCTTTTGGGACAGGAATGGAAACATGGTGACCCCAGAGCCCAAAGTTTGTTTTTGGTGTATGAAATGGAATTTTCATTAGAGAGTTATTTTATCCAAATTACACAACACATTTTCTTATTCACCACTGCTGGGATCTAACCATGCAGATAATTTTGCAGATAATTTGTCCTGGTGTGGAGACATTTTTCTACTTCCACCCCAAGGCTATGGAGGTGAAAGGAATTTCATTGCTCACAGCATTTAAAAGTTTCTACTGCCACGCTGGTAGCTCTGTGAGGCACAGACAAATCAAAATTTTTACCCGATGATGGCACTAGATTAAAAGTTTTAATGACCACCATAGTTGTTACAGTGCATCCTGAGGCAAGCATGAAGATCTGAACTAAGTTTCATGGCAATCCAGCCAATAGTTGTTGAGACATCTTAGTTTAGAGCAAAGTGGTGAACAAACTGACATTGACATCCCTAGAGCCATGCCGCTGGTGTGAATAAAAAATCAATAGCTATGTGTTTTTCTTGTAAGTTGCTTTGGATAAAAGGGTCTGCGAAATGACTAAATGTAAATGTGTTTTTCCAGTTATTCCAGAAAAGCCACACAACACAGTTTTAATATAAGAACTATATATTTCTCTTGGTAAAAAGTGGCTCCACTGTCCACAGGCTGCTCTGTGGATTATTTAAAGGGAATTTGTGCAGCTGAGGTGAAGATGTGCTTATTTTTAGTCCCTAGTATGGGTCAAACTCCAAAAAAGCTGGAGCCTTGCATTTCCCACAATGCAACCAATAGCTTCTTTTTTTTAGACCTTCCTTCCTGCCAGGTAAATGCCCATATCTTTCAAACTCCATGCCCCAGAAGCTCCTACAGTACCACAAAAGACATACAACTGTTTTCAGAGGCTGTGTAACTCTCCTTGTGACGTGTAAACTGACCTTTATGTGTAAAATCTGTAGAGTGCCTCTTCACCTGTAATTTTTCAATGCTGTGAGTTCCACATATGTAGTTCCATTCACCCCCACTGTATTGAGGTTAGCATGAAGCCTTCCATAATATTACATCCAGGGCATTTTTTTTTTAGCATTGCAACTTACCAAACCTCAGTAGGTTTATCCTAATACTTATCACCATCATCATGGAGTTCATGTCCTTTGCAAAAGATAATAAGCAACTTTATTAATTCTCAAAGGAAAACACTTTTTAAGTGATTTGCCTCTATAGCCTAGATAGCCTTCTCTTAATGGAGGCTCCCTGTATGTTGGATGATGGCCTGAATCGCCCCATATGGACACAAGCCCATTACCATCAGCCAAACTGGGTCCCACGGGAGCAAAAGCCGGAACAAAGCCCATCACTGTTCTCCGGTCAGGACACTGAATCTCGCTTTTGCTGCTTCATCATGGGTTCCCACCACAGAAAAACCCCTAGTGTGTGAAGAATCTGTGTGAAATAGATGAGGCTGGCTCTCATACTGATTATACGGCAAATTTGACACTGTGGTATGATGTTTTTATTAGATATATTGGATTGAAAATACATTTAATTGAACAATACAGGATTATTTTTACTAGACCTACATAGAATATATGCACGACCTGTATCATGTAGAATGAATAGAGTCAGAAGAGGTGTTGCAGTCGGCCTACACACTTTTCACACCCAGGATAAAAAAAAATAGAAGATTAAATAAAACAGATTGATTTTAGTGTTACACAATCCGACAGTAACTTTAAACTACAAAACTGTGCATTGATATAACCATAAGGTACAAGTATTTTCTGACTGTAAAATGTACACACTGCTCTTGAAATAAGCAGGCTACAGGCATACTGTGTATCATTGGCTTCAGAGACAAAGTATCTTTACAGTAGTGGTTATTTTTATAGACACAGTGGTGTATGTGCCAGTACTTTTATTCTTAGCAGACTGTCTAAATGTTTTTTATTGAAAGTAGTGGGTCTGCTTTTTCATCTGTTTGACCAGACGTTATTTAGCCTGAGGAATTTGGAGGCAGGCTGTGCAGACTGAATGGACCTCGGCTCAGGGCAGAGACACTATCAGAATTCAGAATGGCATCTGCAATTGCTCATTCTGAAAAGCAGATGACAGGAGGTGTGAGGAGGCGTCCTTTAAAGTTTTTGCAACTCCCGTTGTTCCCAACAACAAGTTGACGTTTATTCAGTCCTCCTTGTGAACGCGTCTCCTTGCGAGGTGATTGATGAGGGTGTGGCAGACCGCTGAAGGACACATCCTCCGCCTGGTTGTGCATAAGAATGGGTGACAGGTTGAAGTCCAGACCTGGAGAGCAGAGTGCAGGTGGGAAAAGCTCGATGATCACATGATCATAAACCAAACTGACCCTGGGGTTATCCTAGTCGGTCAAAGGTCAGAGGTTAGTGGCAGGGACATCAGGGAAAAAAATCACAATATTATTGATCCATTGGAGTCAATAATACTTCATTAAAGCTGACCACTCCGTCCAAGATTTTAAATACATATCAGTATGTCACTTCTGTCAATATCCTTATGCCATCATGTCAATGTGAAAAATAATGTGTTCAAACTGAGTCAGGATATTATAAAAAATAGAAATTAAATGTAAAAAGATTTTTTTCCCTCTTATATTCAAATTATGAACCATTTCATTTTACATCCTTGACGAACAACATGTACATCAATATCAAAAACGCTGAAATGGTGCAATTATTTTATCTGATTAACCCCTCAGTACTAACTACCTTCTCAGTCTTTTGTGCACCATCAATAAATAATTGCATCAAATTTCTATTTACATTCATATTCCGCTTCACTGTGTGCACGCTTTGCGTGTTGGTGATCAGGTTGCTGTTGCAGCGGCCGTCTACATTATCCAGATTTTCCTTTAGCATGTAAAAAGTGTTGCTGTTTTTTTTTCTGTTTACCTAAGAGAGGACATGAAGTAAGATGAAGCCTTAAATGGATCAAAGTGAGGCCTTGAAATATGAATGCTTTTATTGTTATTTTACAGGAGGCCATTGCTGGGTCACAGTTGAGGCGAAACATGTGAGCACCATGGGTGTGACCGATTTACTGACCAAGTTTGGAGAGACAGAGGAGACAGATTTCTTCTTCTGTCCCGCCTCTGCTTGACTTTTCTGGCGCTGTTAGTCACAGATCGTCTCCTACAATTAAAAAGCAGCAGATGGATGCTGTAAACTCCATCATAATTTAAGAGAAACATTTATAATATTCATTTGCGGCTTGGGAGCATTGGGAGTTGTTTCTTTTTTTGTTGTGTTATGCTATTTAAAAAATAGCAAGAGAGCAGGAGGGCTCGGATCAAAAGCAGCTCTTAGAAGAATTTGTTTCACACTCTCCTTGACCTTTTGCTTTGTTCTGATAGAAATATCTCACACGGATGAGAACAGTAACTCCAAAATTGGATACAATTGTGGAGCTGTTAACAAAGTAAATCTTCCTCACAGTTCAGAGTCCCTTAGATCTTTTTCTCTATATGCTGTAAAGCCTTGTCTGTTGGTTTCATGTGACTGTTTTAATTTTGTTTAAGTGTGGGCTGAAATGAAGGTGTCTTCACATATGTGAGTGGCATCCTGCTCTTCTAAAGCAGATGTGAAATCTAAGAAAATCCCAGCAAACATCCCCTAAGCACTGCTCATCCACCCACGAGGAATAAATTGCACTCCAGAGGTAGAGAAGTGGCAAAGACTCACATCTTTAAAAATCTGTGCAATTTTAAATATACTGTATAGA